ATACAAGTTGTAATTCAATGTTACTGTATTAAATTAAGTAATGAATGAGCTGCTTGCAAGCATACCTCATGAAGAATTATTATTATTTTTTTTTTCATTATCTTTCCTTTTCTAATTTCTAATTTTTACATTTTAGTTACTTTTATAATAATAATAGATAAGAATATAAAGAATACACATGAAAAACAAGAAATATAGTACTTATCTGTGTTTTGTTTTTTGCTATCGACTGTTGATGAAACTTAAGTTTACTATTATATATCAATGATACTACAACACTAAATAATTTTTTATTTAATTACGTATTGTACCTAAAATGCAAAATGATAACATGCACAAAGCAAAAAATATGCTATAACTATCATAATTTTTCTGGTTTACTAACTATGTGATAAGAGCCTTTAAAAATTCAGCTAAGTTTGTTGATGTGATTCCTATGAGAAAACTTTCAAACTGGAGGCGAAATAGATATTTCTCTGTACAGAAAACAATGTAATATAATATTTTAAATAAATTTGGCTTTATATTAGTGATAAATAACATAGTATGGAACATCAGAGAGAAATACTGGCAATTTGTGAAAGAGAGGATGTGACAAGTAGGCATGGCAAGTGGGTCAGATTTTCTACTTGATGACTCCATAAACAAATAAGATTATAAAAATTATGCTTTGCCCAAGTAATATCTATACTGAGTAAGTTAAATTGAATTCTGTACTTCTCGGAGTGGTAGTAAATAAATTAGAGAAGAAGGAAAATCTACAGGGCAAATGTCACATTTATCATACTAGATGAGATTGAGAATTTTTTTAAATATTTCCTTAAGAAATTAAAAACTTAAAATTGTATAATATAAAATTTGGTTTATTAACTATGTTTTGTTGCTAAGTTTATTTGCATACAATGATAATAAATTAGTTTAACTAATTTTGAATGTAACTCAATAAAACATTGTGATATGCACAGAAAAGGGTTAAAACTTAGTCTTTATGAAATACTCGACAACATTATAACTGATGGTCTTTGTGGAACAACTAACGATATAAAAATTGATGATCTGCGTGGAATACTTGACAACATGAAAACTGATAGCCTTCATGAAATGATAATGCTAGTGACTTTGGCTGTCATATAAGAATATGACATTCAAGCAGTAAGCTTCACAGCATTTTATGCAACAACAAGCAAAAATATTGGACACAACAACAAAAATGGCCAATAGCTAACAAAATAATTTACTCTGAAAGTTCTTTACTTTTAGTGTTATGTATACACAGCAATTTTTACATTTTCAAGAACTACGAATTTTCTCATAGTATGGTATTCTATTTAATTAGAAAAAATTAGAAGTGAAAAACATGCTAAAAACTGTCCCTTACTTAGTTCTGACTATTATTACTCAATCTTGTAAGGAATGCTACTAAATTCTACTTAACTAGTTTAATCATGATAAATAAAAATTGGCAAATAAAATATTTATTAAACTGTATTAATATGTTTAAGGCATATTCACAATAAAAATTATATCAGGTTCTATGGACCAGCTTATACATTTTTCAAAATATGTATACTGAATGTTAACATTTTCCTAAACTAAAAATGTATTTATAATATAATACTTACCTTTCCTCACACTTATGGCTATTACTAATTGCCAGGGTTTCTTCCTTTGCCCATCTAAGCATTGATCTGGTTTTTTTCTTGTATGCTCCAGTATCTTTACTTCACTTAATTGCCCTTAGTGATATTTGTCTCATGAAACTCTCCACCCACGTCATTGCACCATCCATTCTGGTACCATATATATGCATCTCATTCAGGTAATGTTATCACTTTTTCGAGACTGAATCCATCCCAGTCTCTAATACTGGTTTTAATGGGAGAGGAAGGGCGGGAGAAGAGGTAAGTATTATTGGAAATACATTTTCAATTTAGAAAAATGTTAACATACCTCTGCTCCCACTTGTAGTTAGAATCCCACACTGAAAGGGCATTATCCATACAGAAAGCATCTGCACAGATCATGGGTGTGTGTATATAGAAGACTGGCAACCTAGTGAGGGAACCACACTACATCCAGAACAGGTATGTTCTTCACCCTCAACATAATTCCTGTATTGTGGGTGGAACTGTGTATGAGTGATTATCACAAAATGTTAGTAGCCAGGCCAATTGGACCTCAATGTTATATCTATATATACTTATAAGTAGATCCCAACCTGTTGCCATAGAGTGATGCATTCCAAGCCACAGGAATCATGACAAGAAAGTAAGCAACACCAAATTGGTCAAATCTTCTCCACCACCTGAAGAAGCCTGAAAGGCAACACCCCAGGCTCGGAATGACAGGATCGTGTATGCCTTACTCAACCAAAGGTAACAGAACCCATCTGGTTGGAATTATGAACATTCATCCTCACTCCCCATTTCTCTTGTTCCCTGAATTATGAGGAGGACGTAGAACAAACAGTGCTCAGCCAAGGACCCAAGATGGGACCACTACGCATTCTGAATTATGAGGAGATAGTAGACCCTCTTCCATGAACAATGTACTGAATCTCTATTGATCAAAGAGAGGGGCTGGGCACACCCCAACCTGATAGCAGAGCATCAAATCTGAGCCGGTATTACAAGTAGGCTCCTGCATGGGCCGGTGCCACTCCTACCAACATCTGGGAAAAACATCCAGGTAGGTGGACCCTCTTCTCAAACATTCTGGAGGAAAAGCCTCTGTCCACCACAGCAGTGACTGGAAACTGGGTATGGTAAGGACTCCATAGCTCCACTAGTAGAATCTGGGGAGGGGTAATATGTATTAGGGAGCTATGAGGAACAATGATCTGTAAACAGTGCAAATGAGTGAACCAACTTCCTTAAATTTTTAAAAGCAAACCAAGCTCAATTTTATTTCAATCTGATGATCAGCAGGGACAAGCAGGATCCTCTTATGCTCTACTCATGGTAATCCATGAGTGGTGGTTCAGCATAGTATGGTAATACCACCTGGTGAACTCCTAGGTGGTCTTACGGAAACACTTCATTTCTACAGAGCCTGTTGCAACTTGTATAAAGTATATTGAATTTCTGGTTGCTAGTGTGGAATTGGTTTGATAAAAGCACACATGTTTGGGACAACACTCGCCACAGAGTGTGATCCTGTGAAAACAAGGGAAGGTACCCTGAAAAGTAGCACAGAAAATACTCACTCTGTATAATCTAGCTAAAATGGTTAAGATAGCTACAGGGGGTAGGCAAGATCCCTCACATGAAGAGACTGCCAAATCAGACAAATAATGTGAGATAAAAGTATTGGGGGTGGTCCACATACCAGTTAGCACAATAACCTCCAGCAGGAAATTTGACTGGGCTGCTAAGGACATAGAAATGTGACAAATCTGATTAGATGTGACTTGCAGAAGAATCCTTGTCTTCAAAGAGAGTCCAGAAGAAAAGTCTAGCATCTCTAAAGGCATTAGGGTAGGCAACAAAACTTTCAAGAACCTCACTGAACATGACTACAATTGAAATCTGATTGGACACAGAAATGAGAAATAGTGATCGGATGAATAGGTGAAAAGGACTTTAACCACTTTCCTATCTGAAAGTGTCTTGGGTAAGAACTGGTCTGAGGATGTAGAGAGAATGAGAAAGTGATGTGTGGACAAATAGTGCAAATCACTCCAACTGGTGATGTCTGTAGGTCAGCAGCATTGAAAAATAAACCTTCAGGTAAAGTGATTGCATGGCATATAAGAGTCAGGGCACAAACAGGTGTTGAGAAAATAGGCTATGCTGTAATCTTAATATACCTGTCAGGTAAGTGGAATAATAATTTGGGCCTAAGAACCCAAACTTCAGGAATCTCGGGAGCACTGGGGGCTCAACAATTACGTAGTTGCAATAATTGCAATGAAAAAATATAGCAAAAGCACATATAATGTTGAAAATCTGTTGTAATTCATGAAAAACTGATGTTGCAAACGTAAAATTAACAAAAAAGAATAAAATCTCATTTTAGTTAGCTGTATACTTAAAAGGCATGTAGTTCATTCAATACTTCATGAAAAGCTTCCAAAAATCCCAAGAAAGCTTCTGTAACATAAAAAAAAATCTATACTGATTGACTACAAACTATGAAACTGATCACTCAGTTGTCTTCTGTAATAACCTAAATGTAAAATTAAACTACTTCTTAAACAGTCAGTATTTATAAACCTACAGAAATAATATGATTAAACAGCTGTGTTTGTTTACATGAAATATTTTTCAAGTAGGTTTTATGACCAAAAATGAGCATTCAGCCTTACAATAGGCAAAACATTTATAGTTGGTTAAATGCACTATTCAGCAGTAAACAGAAAAATAAGAAATATATATTCATCTCCATCACATAGAATGTACTTTTTTGTTGTTGTTTCAGATATGTGAAGTATTTTATGCAAAAAAACAAAGATCTAAAACAGAGTATTGCTATTCTTTGTGGAAAATCATGGTTTGAGTTTTATTACCCTGAAAATTCAGAAATGAAACTGAATCAACTATACAACAACAAAAAATATTCCATTGTTATAAGCATTTTGTCTTTTGTTTCTTATAAAATTTTGAAACACTAATATCAAACACTGAAAGAGCTGACTATTCTTTCTTATCTGAATATATCCTATGCACTGTATCAGATTTCCAGAAGTATACATGTAATATTACTAGTTAACATTCCAAGTCATACCCTAGTTTAGAAACCAATTCAACATTTTTATTCAGCAACTTAGACTAACACTGTATGGCAACCATATGCCAAACTTTTCTTTCTTTATATTTTTTAAGTTAGAAGTATAGCTAGTAAAAAGGTAAACTGTACTGCAAGTCTTATTTTATAAACAATTAATGTCTAATTTCAAATGTAATAATTCCTACCAATTATTAAGTGTTTAGTGCTTCAGAACCTGCTGTAAATTAACAAAAGCTGGAGCTATATTTACATATAAGTGCTCAGTAACATACTTTTTTCAGAACACAGGAAGCTTGCTAGTGTGGACTTGAAGCTGGATGTCAAACCATCTTTTTTGGGATGTTCTGTTTTTGATGACTGGACACCTTTTGTTAATTGCTGGATTAAGAAAACAATTAACATTGCATACAACAACTAAAAAAAGGCTATACGAGCTCTTTTTTAAAAATAATTATCCTGTAATTCTGTTATGAGAATTAATACATTTTTATTCCTTCATACCTCAAGTAATCTTACCTGAAAATCCGAATTATCAACAATAGTGAAATAAATGATTTGTACATGAACATTCAAATCAATGTGACTTGGTGTTCATTGCCAACCTTTTTCCAGATGCCATCAACTAACTATACAGAGTTAATCACACTTGTTTGTTGTTTTGAATTTCTCGCAAAGCTACATGAGGGGTATCTGCGCTAGCCATCCCTAATTTGGCAGCGATAGACTAGAGAGAAGGCAGCTAGTCATTACCACCCACTGCCAACTCTTTGGCTACTCTTTTACAGTCACATTATAATGCCCCCATGGCTAAATTGGTGAGCATGTTTGGTGGGACGGGGATTCGAACCTGTGACCATGAGTCGAGCTCCCTAACCACCTGGCCATTTTTTTAATCACACTTTATATGAATAATTTAAGTATTCTATTGCAGTGGCTTGCTGCCACAGATGTGAGTCCTGATGCACATATGTCATTTTAGTATCTATATTTTTGGCAAATCACCAACCATTCAACAGTGCAACAGGTAGAATTATAGCTGAAGGTTTCTTCTGAAAAAGGATATTTGTATAGTGAGGTTGTCAGATGAAGTAGAGTAAAAAAACATAAAATTTTGGAGGAAACCTTTAAGGTTCTCTATGGAAACAAAAATTCCACAGCAAAGAACTTAGTAAAGGCTACAAAACCACAATATCTGCACAGTGAAGGCTATGGTTATGAAAGAGAATTATCCAAACCAGAAACCTATTGCAATGAAACTGTGCATACTTGCTGGTGACATTAATAAGATAATACACAATGAATTGAAATTGATGAAAGCTTACAAGCTTCAAACCCAATCTAAAAATCATTATTTTGTTTTTGTAAGATGAAAGAAGAAGTTGAAATTATAGCACTCCCATTCAACCACATTCCTATCAAGTCCCAAAATGCAGTTCCAGTGGATCTGTGTCTCTTTGCTCTATTCAAACTTGATGTTTCAGTTGATGTCCACATATAGTGAAAGATCTGCAGTCCAAGAATTAGCTCATCATCCTCTTCTGAAGCTTATAATAATAGAAGTTACAGTGTTGGACAATAGTGCATAAAGCATGGCATCAGACTGAATACGGATAATAGTTCTAACAGCAAAACAGAATCTGGAACATTTCTATTACAAAGTGCAACTAACCTCAGTACATGACTTGTTTCTTTCAAAGACCAGCTTTCAGTAATCCAAAAATGCAAAAACATAGTGGATAGTTTGACAATTTGACAATGGACTTGTCTGATTTCATCTGTATTTTCATTCTTTGTGAGAAGAAAAAAAAAGCGAATTTAGAAATACTATACTTTCATCAGGCTCACCCTCCGAAAAAAAGGGAAAAAGTTCTATCAATTAAACTAATTTGAGTACAACACTCTGATACTATCAAATGGTTGGTACTGACACACAAAAGAACTCTAGCTTTCTTTTGTAGTTTATTCCAATGAAATATGTGAAGTGTAACTGACTTTGTATTGGTGAAAACTCTTTTGGAATAACATTTTCACAATGAGTAGTATATGCTATAATTCAAATCAATTTACTTTTAGATATTTACTTAAATCCATATTCTATTCAGGGTAGTAATATATATTAATTAGAAATATTTCTGTGAAAAATTTTCAAGATGAAGCCACACAAAAATCATTTTCCTTTTACTTTAAACAGGGTTCATACTCTTTCAGAAGGTTTTTTTCCAGGAAATTTCACTCCAAAACATCATTTTTCCAGAACAATTTGCATCATTTTCATGGAGTAGCTAGGATTATAACACAAGAAATAGATTTACTACTTATATTTATACCAATTAACTTATATTATTAATCAGAAAGATCAAAACATCTTGATGCAATATCTCTGGACAACCTGGTTGAGAATGACAAATGGATGGATAATTATTATTTTTTAATTTCAACAAAAAATTATACATATACACAGCACGGTATATATATGTATGTTTATATTTTCAATTCTTTTAAATTTATCTAATTGGTCTTTTAGCTCAATGAGCTCCTTTTCTTTTTCTTTAGCAGTTTGCCTAAGGCTGTTGGAGTTGGTAATGTTCTTAATGCTTCTGCCTTTTCAGCAAACTCATCTGCCAACTTATGGAAAGCAGCACTATCATCCTGCATGTTATATTTGCTTTTTATGTTTTCTGTTTCATCCATCACAGTCTTTCTTTTTTGAATAATTTTTGCCTCTTCTTTTTGTTTCCATTATTCCTTGATAAAAGATATATATCTTTACCTTGTAGATGCTGCTTAGACTAGAAGCAAGCTGTTGATGTTAACTGTAAGGATTACACCAACAGTATTTATCTGGTAACAGATTAATTTCTGTGAAATGAGCAATTGTTCATGTAAATTTTCCACTTCAATTTCCTTGTTGAAGTGGAAAATTTAAAGTCACAATCCCTCATTTCACAAAGATTAAGTATTTCAACCTGGACTTGGCCCCTGGGACCGACCTCATAACCATTTTGTGCTTGTTATAGTTTTCATGCTGTAACTTTTAAATTGGTAAACAAATGTTAATGAAATTTGGTAGATTATCAGTAAACATTACCATTCTTTTTATATGCATAATATCTAATTTTTTTATT